GGTTCCCATGGGCGCCTTTCTGAGAGGGAGGCTGTTAATCGCAGACACAGCGTGGGTCCCCGGCAGCCTCATGTGCTCCGGCTGAACTTGCGGTGCGTTTGAATGAAAGGTTCAGGTCGGAAAAACACGCGGTTACGTGGTTTAAAACGAGGTAAACGACGCGAATTAGACTTGATAGGAAATGGAAAGAGGGATTTACTGAGACTGGAGCCGAAAACGCGCTACTTGATTGATTATTTAATCACGGCTAGTTAGCAGTGTGATTTGGCGAAAGCGTGTTTTGTCACATTACACTTGCAGTACGTGCAAACAAACTATTAGAATTCTATTTTGTTACATGCATTTTTTGTTGTTGTATCATTTCTCCCATTTTAGATTACAAAATGGCTGAAAACGAGGCTTTAACCCCCCTTGAAAAGAAAGTGTCAGAACAGATCGAGGTAAATGCCGGTATAACAGCCGTCAGAATAATTCACTGCAATGTCCTGTAAGGTGGGGAAATTAAATGCCTGCTTTTCTCCCCAAGTATTACTTTGGCGACCACAATCTTCCAAGAGACAAGTTCCTGAAAGAGCAGCTGAAAGTTGATGATGGGTGGGTTCCGCTTGAAACCATGATTAAATTCAACAGGTAAGCAAATTATCCCTTTAATGGGCTGGAAAGATGCTCTAGAACTTATCATGTACAGTCTGTCACACCAAAGCAACACCGTGAATTTGCTTTGGTTAGTTCGTGATCGATCAAACTAACGAAAATAAAAATGATCTCGGTTAGGGCACTTTTTTAAAAACTGCGTTCGCTGTCGAGATCTATGAACCAGAGAGATGCGGTTCTGCGCCACCTACTGGTGTAATGATGTAGCGCTACCTGAAAGTGTCAATGTAGTTGTGTTCTTCACTGAAGGAGGGCCACGCTTACCAGTGCGGAGGGGGGTTTGGGGGCCGCCATTTACTTTTTGAAAGCTGGCTAGCCGGCAGTAACCTTGATGCTGCTTCACTGTTAGTTCAATTGTTAGTTAACCACGTAGCTGCACATTATTGGGAAAGTTGTATTGTGTCTAGGTTCGAAACAATAAATAATCTCATGGTCAGGGTAATTCACATTTTTTATTTGGTCACGGGCAATCCTTTTTATTAGCCAAGTATGTTTCCATACAAGGAATATGCCTTGGTGGTGCTTTTAGGTGACATTACAAAAAATGACATTACAAAGGACATTCAACGTTTAGCAAAGACACATACAGAAAAGTGAAAACACTAGATTAGTATTTGGGTGATGTAATAATTATATGATAATTATAATGGTAGTAGTAATGATGATTTTGATATAATTTAAATATGTAATATATAGTTGAAATATTAGTTATAAAAGGAAACAATGGAGCAAAACATTGACGGGGAATGTGTCTGAGTGATTCTGACACAAAAGAATTACCCATCCATCCATATTCTGTGCCCACTTGTTCTATGCATGGCTGTGGGGGAGTAATCATTATTTGTCTCTACAGGCAAGGCTGCTTTGGAAATGTTCTGCCAGATGGTAATTGTCGTCTTTTCTCTCTCAGGCTGAATCGCTTAACCACAGATTTCAGTGTAATAATCGAGTCCCTAAGGAAGTCAAAAACGGGCCTATTGGAAATCAGTGAGGACAAGACAAAGATTAGAAGGTCCCCAGACAAGCCTCTTCCAGAGGTCAACGATGAATACAAAGATGCTCTGAAACACAAATCCGTCTACCTTGTGAGTTTATGAATTCCGCTCACTTTTCATCCATCATCAGTGTTTGGTCTTATTACTCATAATTAAACGTTTCCTTTTCTTCAGAAAGGCTTTCCTTTGGAAACTACCCTCGATGAAGTCCAGGAATGGCTTAACGGAAAAGGAAATATTGAAAATATACAAATGAGGCGAAATTTACAGCGTCAGTTTAAAGTAAGAGCCTGAGTCCACTTCCCTCGCCACTCAGATAGGAATGACATCAGTCATTAATGCTTCTCTCCCTACAACCAGGGCTCAGTTTTCCTGGTTCTGGACTCCGAAGAATCAGCCAAGCAGTTTACAGCTCGTCCAGATGTAAAAAATTTTAAAGACAACGAAATGATTGTCCTCTTAAAGTACGTGCACATGTAATCCTTTTGCTTCATTGGTAGGGCTGCACAGTATCGCTGTGTGATGTAATTGTGATTATAAGGTGCATGCAGAGTAATCACCTGGGCTTAGATGATGGGTGAAATGTGTGTCCAGATGCTGGCTTTTTGGTACTATAGACATTTTCTTACACCCGCGATTTGGTAAGCAGTTTAGTGGTACGCCTAAAATATGAATGAGATGAAAGTTACATTTATAAAGCGCTTTTTCAAACACCCAAAGCACTTTATAGAAGCAATGGGGAGCCACTTCAACCACCATAACTGTGGCCCCCACCTGCATGATGCAATGGCAGCCATTCTGCACCAGTACGCTCACCACACAGTAGCTAAGGTGGTGACAGGGCAGGAGAGAATTCAACAGTTGGATACGGGGGATGATTAGGAGACCAGATTTGAAAGGGCCACAGTGGGCAATTTAATGACCTCAGGGACTCAGTTTTAAGTCTCATCCGAAGGACGGCACCATTTTTACAGCACAGTGTCCCTGTCACCGCACTGGGGCATCAGGATCCACACAGACCACAGGACAGACTAACCTGTTGGCCACACCAACACCTCTTCCAGCAGCAACCCAGCTTTTCTAGTTGGTCTCCCATTGACATACTAGCCAGGCCTAAACCAGCTTAGCTTCAGCTGGATTATCTGGTCTGAACTGCAGGCCGTGTGACTGCTGAATGAGTATTGTGATGCCCAAAAGTTAGTTTTCTGTAGAAATTCGGCATATCCTTATGTTTATTACATTAGCAGAGCACGCCACATGCTACTGTTTTGCTAAATCATGGAAGCCATAAGCACTGAAGTTGTGGTGAAGAAAGGGACAGCTCACACAATATTGTTTGAGATATTCTGGATAGACAAGGTTTAAAAAACCTTGGTTTTGCAGTACTTTATGCAGTTTAAAATCAGACGTTTATTAAGAATTTATACAGATGACTAACTTTGGGTGTCATCATACGCCTCAATATTTTAGGCTACTAATCTGCTTATCATATTGTCGCTGTAAGTAAACGTGTTTATAGCTCAGGAAAGGTGGTGCCCGGACACATGTTCACGTCCATCATCTGAAGCCCTGGTGATCGTTGTGCGTGTGCCACATAATCTCGATGTCATGTGCAGCCCTATGTCACATGTGCTGTGGCTTTTGTTTATGGGTGTGTGTGTTTTCAGGGAGGATTATTATGCAAAGAAGACAGAGGACAGAAAACAACAGAGAGCGCAGGCAAAGGCTAAAGCCAAACTGTAAGCGCCGTCTCCCTCCGCTTCCCTGGCCGGATCGAAAGCCGCTGTCGGAATAAACAGGCCAGGAAGTGGCAAGAACAGATCAGTTATTTAATGCTGTTTTCCTGCTTGGTTCTGCTTATTGGTAATTTGCTGTTTGGGTTTCTTTTATTAAAGTGAAAAAGAAGAAAAACAAAAGCAAGCAGAGGAGGAGGAGATGGTAAGCTGAGTGATTTACATGTGGCTGTGATTTAAATTAAAGCTTATTGTGGATTCCTAAGGGAATGCATGGAACTATGATTGATAGATGGAGTCCTCACTCCTCAGACTCCTCAAAACCCATCTGTTCCAGGAATTCCTGTACTAGCCTGATACCTATTTTTGTTCTCAATGTTATGTTGCACGCACTGACCCTTGAACAGTTTGATTAGGTTCTTGCTTTGTTAGAAGCTGTGTAGTTCCTGCTCCAAGACTGCTTACACGCGTACTTGGGCATTCACTGGAAGCTCAGCCTGGCTGCCCCAATGCCTAGTTGATCCTTTGACAGCACACTGCAAACATTCATGCTATTTGCCTCACTTGTACATAACTTCGGACAAAAGCGTCTACTTAAAAATGTTAATGTAGTGGAATACATGTAGCTGTTCCGAAGCTGAGGAATGCATCATGCTTTAAATGAAAACATTAGCAAATCTTATGCAGCAAATGCACATGTTCTCTTGCAGAAATCTTTAGACGAACAGGCAGGCTGCCTGCTGAAGTTCTCTGGTGATCTGGAGCAGACGTCGAGGGAAGATTTTCACGAGTTGTTTTCGGGACATGGTCAGATCAAATGGATTGATTTCACTAGAGGAGCCAAGGAGGTAAGATCCTGCCCTTCACACACGTGAAGTGAGGCAGCGCACTCATTACAGCAGCTGCTTACACCATTAATGCTAGAACAAGTCTGCCCAGCAGTCGTTTTCATGCACATGCTCTTTTTCCCAGGGTACCATTCTTTTTAAATCAAATGCCAGAGAAGCACTAGAAAAAGCCACTGCAGCTCATGGAGGCAAACTAGAAGTAAAGAACAAAAGCGTAACGTGGGAAGTGCTGGAGGGAGATGTGGAGAAGGAAACGCTAAAGAAGATTATGGAGGACCAGCAGGAGTCCCTCAACAAGCGAAGGGGCAGAGGTACGTGTGGTTTGGCCAGTGTGCCTGCCTGAATGAGACAGCAGTGCCTTCTGTTAACCTTCCTTTTATTTAAGGTGGGCGTAGATCTGGAGGAAGAGGAGGAAGAGGAGGCAGAAGGGACAGGGGAGGAAGGGATCAAGCCCAAGTGAAATACCAGGGCAAGAAGACTAAATTTGACAGTGGTGATGAAGATGATGGTATGAATGTTACATTACTGTAATGCTGCTCAGTTGCCTTCCTCTTCTGTATTTCAATTACTCAATACTATAATTCCTACAAAACAAGCTTGATTTCTCATGCATTGTCATACGGTTGGATGTGCCACATGGCTGATTGTTTTTGATGCTTCTAGCTGCACCTCAAAGCCCAAAGAAGAGACCTCTTGACGAGGGAGATGCAGAGGCACCCGCCGCAAAACAAGGGAAGACGGAAAACGGCTCAGAGAACTGAAACCACAAAGACTCGCTCTCAGCCTTTATTCAAAATGCCGATGAAAGGAGTGCGTCTTGAGTCCATTCCTGTGTTGGCTTTACGTTACGCAGAATCGTATGAAGTCGACTTCAATGTCAACCTGCAGTTCAAGGGGATTATAAAAAAGGGTTCTTTCTTTTCTGTCCAGAATGGCCACTAAGGAGACTTTATGCACATAACGTGTAAACCTCATGAGCAAGATAGTGCAGTTAAGTCTGAATGTGTCTGCACCCTTAGTTGATTTTTACCAGTGCAGATTTTTTTTAAGCAATCTACCCATTACATTAGTGGTATATTTCTGTAGTTGCTACTTTTCAAAATGCACCATTGATTTCTTTTGTTTTGTATAAATGCTTTTAAAAAAAAACTTTGATTCTGTAGAACTCCCTTTTACATGTAACCAACATTAAATCCAGATTTTTTTGATCTATAGGAAGTAAAATCTTACCGATTTCTTTTTGTGGAACTTGTACGATGCTGGCAAGTCGTATCTTAGTTCTGTAAAGAGGGGGCAAAAATTGAGACTTTTAAAAAGACGAGACGAACCTTGTGAAATGTTGGTAAAGCATCGTTGCATACCTGCGATTACTTCCATCTTTACTTTCCAGTCATTTGCTTTCTTCTGAACATGCTAAGAAATAAAAATGCATTTCTTTACTCAGCTGTACCACCTGAGGAAGGTGACATTAAAGATTCTACAGACCACATACCTCTCGTGTTGAAGTTTTGTGAAGAGAGTACACTGATGATTGTGCCATATTTAGTGCTGTTTTCAGGAACTGCATGTCCATACCTTGTAGAGGAAAATGGCAATTAGTTTAACCTTGTCCATATTAATTTTTTTCATGTCTGCTTGTCCTTTATAGGGGTACAGGGATCCAGAGCTGACCCCTGAAGTTAACCGTAGCATGTTTTTTTTTTTTTTGGGGGGGGGGGGCTGGTATGGAGTTAAGCCCACAAAGACACTGAGAACATGCAAATTACATACCTGGGGCCTGTACTACAAAGCGGGGTTACTGGCTTATCGGGGTAACTTGTCGGACTTAAGATATTCTGGGCAAAATGTAAGTGAACGAATATGAAGTCCATTTAAACTGGTACCTTAAATCCGGCAAGTTACCCCGATAAGCCAGTAACCCGCTTCGTAGTACAGGCCACTGATCAAGCTTTGTTAACTTACCTTTGTTGTGTTTAGTACCAAAAGGAGGGTTCATGATAACAGTGTCATATCTCTTGGTGTTAGAAGCCAGTTCTAAGGAGCAGACGTCAGACTGAACCATGTCAATATTTGTAAGTTCGAATTCCTCCTTGTTCTTTTTAAATACTTCCAATGCATCTTGGTCAATATCAAATCCAACACATAATCTGTCAAAGGAAAAAAAAAGTGAATCTATACCAAATCAGATAAGCAAACTTTTTTTTTTTTTATAGCTTCCAAAGGCTACGTACCCGGCATTGAGCACAGCAGATCCTATGCTCAGGACACCACATCCGCAACCCAGGTCCGCTACCAGTTTGTTCTCAATGTCATCGAACGTGTTGTGTATAGTGTACAGCATATGGGCTGAAAATATCCAAGAAGAACAAACTACCTTACCCATGGGATTAAACATTCAAACGATTATATGTCTTACTAACAAGGACAGTTGACCGGTTACATTGTATTTTTGCTCACGAACGGGTATAATACGATGCAATTAATGAATCTCTCACCTGCAATGTGGGGACTCGTAGGGTACTGTTCAAGAAGTATCTTTGGATCCTCAAAGACATCCACTTGCTGAAGGCAAGATTCTAGTTCTTTCAGTTTCATTGTTTTTCTCAGCAACTAACCAAATAATAGAATTGTTTTGTATAGCTGCAAATTTCCCCAGTACATACAAGCACACTGATTTTCTCTGTTGGAAAAAACACGTAATTTTAAAGTTATCTAGCTAGCTAGCAGGGTACTGGTGTTCCGAATGGAACCTTATACACAGTGGTACCTTGGAGCAAACTTAATTCGTTCCAGAAGGCTGGTCGAGTACCGATTTGGTCGAGGTCCAAGTCGCATTTCCTCATAAGAAATAATGCAAATGAATTTAATTCGTTTAAGACTCCCAAATGATGCTTATTTAAACGTATCTACTTATCTGACTAATTATAAAACCTCTGATAATCAATAAAAAAACACACCTACAACAGCAATAAACATTAAATAAATCCCATACTCCGCAGAGAGAGCAGATACACGTGCACCACCTTCAAGTCTTGCTATATATATAATTTCCTTTTTAAGTTCTAGTTACTCTCACTACTTTCCTCTTTGGTTTGCTGCTATCTCTGCTCACTTTCTTAGTGGTCATGATTACTGTATTACTAACTGTACTGTAGATAAAGTACAAAAAAATCACACCGAACACAAGAACACAGCTTTCGCACGTCGAACTCGGTCGAAAGGTACCGGGACACTGACAGCAATTCATAGGCATCAGCATCCCAGTAGGTCGAGTTGCAGTTAGATTTTTCTTGACAGACCAGTCCGAGGTCCGAACCGGTAGTGTTAAGAGGCGTTTGAGTTCCAAGATTCCACTGTGTGCAAAAATTTACATCTAACTTTCTTACGACCACCAGCTAACCTAGACTACATTCTTAAACTACAATTCTAAAAAGATCCATTGTACAATACCCGTCATTTAAACGGTCAGTATATGTAGTTAGTTTCACACATTTCTGGCTAAGGGTATAATGAAATAAAAATAAAATGATATTACCTGCCGTTGCGAAGGGACTGAAGTTATCGTAATTAATACAGTGTCTTTTACAGACTGAATAAAGTCAAATCAATGTACAGTTCCCTACTATACAGCATGTCAAAGCGGCACGGAAGCACCCATTGTTATGTCTCAAAGAAAATAGATCGATAGGAAACAAGCATAACGATATATGGTTCCTAGGTAGAAACAATAGTCCTTAACCCAAAAAACACAGATTTCAGTCAATTCTATAAATACGACATATGTTACTATAATTAGGTTACATGGAAGCGCTACGTATAATTTGTTTATTTTGCAGTTTTTTGCAGTTTATTTTGCACAGACACCAGCTACTTAGAAGAAGGGGAGTGTGGTAAGCTCCTGTATTGTAATCACCATGTCAGTAAGTTTCAACAAAGGTCTGCAATGACACGTTGGTTAACTGGTAAGTTCTACTGTGTTGCAGAGATGCAATTTATTCATTGGTTTTATGTAACTGAAAAGTTCTTAATGGGTGGGAAATTATGTATTTTAAAAGTATTTATATGGCACATCAATTCAAAGATTCCTATATATCTGGACAGATGTATTGGGACGCCTGGCCATTACACCCACAGGAACTTTTATGACATCCCATTCTAAATCCATAGGCATCACCATGGAGCTGGTCCCCCTTTGCAGCTATAACAGCTGCCACCCTTCTGGGGAGGCTTTCCACAAGAGTTTGGAGTGTGTCTGTGCACTGGAGCACAGTCATGCTGGAAGAGAAAAGGTCCTTCCCCAAACGGTTCCCACAAAGTTGGAAGCATAGAATTGTCCAAAATTTCTTGGTCTGCCGAAGCATTAACAGTTCCCTTCACTGGAACTAAGGGGCCAAGCCCAACCCCTGGCAATGAGTCTGAATGAAACACCTGAATTCAACGATTAAGAGGTGAGTCCCAATACTTTAATGTGAGGTGTTGGCATTTTCCTTCCACAGGCCATAAGGTCACTAAACATTATATTACTCATTGTTAATATTTAAGTTCTGCACTTTATCAATATTGAGTTATTATCCACTTATTGCTTACTCATTCTTATATTGCACTCTTTTATCTTGCAATGTCTTGTCCTGCATTGCACTGAGGCTACTTGCTTATCTTGCACTGACTTGTCTTGTATTACACTACCGTTTGTTGTAGCCCCCAATGCACCTGTCCGTTACCATGCAACTGTGGCATAGGAATTTCACTCTGTTATTAGGAACATGTGACAATAAAACTTGAAACTTGAGTCCTGCCCCTACTTAGTATGTGGCAGGCCTACTTCTATGCAGTACTCAGCCAAACGTGTAAGCTTTCACATTAGTTTGAAGAGCAGTGTTCGATGACTAATGGAATAACAAAACTTAATGTAACCTTTAGATATTCTGTGATTGGACAATTGCAGACATCAGAGACGTATGCCCCAAAAATTTGTCTTCTTTTTCCGGCTCCACTAGAACTATGTTAGCTTTTTTGTCATATAAACGCCATATAATCCTTTCAATTGCATTTTATGGTCATTAGATGGTGCTACTGCTCCACAGTACCGCTGCGATTTTTAACGCTGCGTAGTTGTTCAGTTCTTGTTCTGAGCACTGCTCATTCTTGCTGCCCTTGGAAGTCTACATGATGTAGCATTCTTAATCTCCAAACGTTTTCCTGTAATTTGAGGCGCAAATGTGCCATTCCTGAAATATTTGTATTTGCAATGTGGTGTAAACATAATGTTCACTTGCAGGATATAATTCCAAATGTATTTATTTGAATTGTAAGCAGTTTACAAGCATTTATTGTCTCACTGTCTCAAGGGACATTACAATACGTGGTTACTGTTATATTTAAAGAATAATTAATTGTGAATATTTTCATTAACAATTAAAAAAAGAAAAAAGTATAAAATGTATAAAATTGCATAAAGCATTGTAATATGAGGACGTTCTTGAGCTACGAGGACACTGCCTTCCTTAAGGATATAAGTCTTTGCTTTTCAGTGTTACTCTAATTTTTGTGTTTGTATCTCCCATTTATTTTTCCGCTGAAGTCTTGGAGAAAAACTTAAAACCATCCTATTAAATCTCGGCAGAGATTTGCGGCCTGGTAAACCATTTTACCTTCATTCTCGGGGCTGCCGGTGCTGCCGCTTTGAATATGAATGACTGACTCGATCTTCTTCCTGTATAACTTGCAGCGCCTCAATGACAACCACCGTGACTTCATTGCACTATATATATATGCCCCATGCATGACTGTGCAGAAAATATGCAATGCAAATTTAACATAACGTACATTCTGCTTTATAGTAATGAGAGCAGTAATCTCTTCGTGCCGCAATGACAAACATTTGTTTTGCGTTCTCAGCAATAATTGGTTATTATACTTAAAGGTATGTTGAAATGGTAACTTACATTATTGTCAAACTCTGTCAAGTTTGCTCCTATAGACAAACAGTCTGGAGGCATATGTTAATGTTTGTTCTGAATGGCAAGACAGATTAACGATCGGTTAATATTTCTATAAAAATAACAGCAAAATCAGTTAGACTGCCTAATTTCAGTAGAAGGTGGACCTTCAGGGCAAAGATGTTTTGCCATATTTATACATTGCCGTGTTTTTATTAAAATTATTTTTAGGCTTAAATGCGTCTATTTTTAATTAACATTATGCCTCAAGGAATCATTGTTGTTTGCACGTAAAGGTTTGTATATGCATCAGTATCGGAAATTTGTAATCAACAACGAAGCCGGAAGCCCTCATTATGTTGTCATTTAAGGTATCATCATTGTCCATAACGACGTGGCAGGAAGGTCCTTGTTTTTCAATTTTCTGTAAAGTCTGTTTCTGCAGGCGTGTATTTTCATACTGCTAGAGAATGACTGATCTCTTGTCAAGTCGACAAGATGTTACATTATCATTATCCGCTAATCACTAAAGGAGCGAATGGCTTCCCGACAAAAAGATTTAATTAAGAGATTAATAAAGCAGCCATTTTTCATTTGTATCAAGAAAACAGACACTTATTTTCATTATTAGATGTTTAATCTCTGGCTACGTTACTCAGCCGCCTCATTGTGGCGTTTTCGTTATTCGGCTTAATTGTGCCTTCGCCGCTTTGATGGGTAAGTTTTTATTCAGACGGTGAATTGACAGCGAGACATAATTGGTCTGAAGCTGAGTATATTGCGGCAGATCAGTGAAACGTCAAAACCTGTGATGGATGTGAAGGAAGAGGGGTTTTAAAGACCCTGTTTGGATCCAAATGGGTATACAATGAAAAGTGTTAAAAAGCCTGTTCCTGATGGCTTACTGACGAGCACGAATTTCAACATGCTGATAGAAAGAGCTAGGGAGATGCTGGATTTCGGTCATTGAAAATGTATAGTCATATGCGATTTGGACAAAATGCATTGAATATAAGTGGCAATGTTGCCAACTTTGGTCAGCTAGGTGGGGTGAGATTTTCTATTCGAGACAAGTCTGCACACGAATTTACATGTATGTAACCATGTTATTATCTTAATAGTCTGTAGGGTTTGAAACCCCAACTCCAGCGCTTTTGATATAGCAAATTTTAGGTTTATAATGGAATAATATAGATTTGCCATAAGATTTCTTGCGTGAGCGTGAATATCTGCAACCGTGGGAGTCACGTACGTACGCCATATGCGTGAGAGTTGGCAATCCTGATAAGCGGACTGAAACGAGTACCAATGACGAAATAAAATGAAGTATGACGCTTTGGTGTAGTTAATGCATCCCACATATAGGGTCCAGTTCTTAATTTTTTACCGCACATTTTGGTTCATTTCCACACTCTAAGAGGGAATTTTCCTATGAGGAAGGGAAAATGTTTCTTCACGTTGGGAATCAAAGGTCGGTCCGTCACGCAGCAGACTGGGCCCTGAGATGGCCCTGGGGGTGCTGATCGGTGACTGCGTTGGGGTTAGGACAAACAGTAGTGTAATACAATGTGCTCCTCTCAGCACTCTGCTGACAGCTTCTGGAGGTCATGCAAGGTGAAGCAGGCAGAGTACAAGTCACCCTCCCCAAGCTTCAACACTCACTGCAGCGTGATCTACGGTACCCTCTTCCGCAGTATTGCAGTATCGCAGTATCGCATAGAACTATACCTTCTCTGTATTTCGTCGTGCAAATTTAAGACTTTAGAGGAGACCTGGACAAAAGCCTAGTGCGTGGGACACATTTTTAACGTCATTAAAATAAAAAAACATAAGGTTTTATGTTCGAATTTATGAAGATGAACAGAAACCTTTCTCTGAAAAAAATGTGTAGTAAAATATATAAAATCTATTACTGTACTTTTCACAAGATGAAATTAATCATGAAAAAATGGCGTCCCTTCTGAGAGTGTGAAGCTTGAGTTTGACCCTCTATGAAATAGTTGCCCAAGTCTGATTCAGAGAATAGGTATCGTACATGATCCCAAACATATTGTGTTTGTTTTATCTAAACTGTCTGAGTATGTAACACCAATGACAAGCATCCCCATCGTATTGCATTACACAGTATACTGATGGTACTGTATGCATAAGCTCAGTCATGTGACCCCAAGTGTGGGATTGGCGAACCATGGTCAGTCACCCTTGGTTACCAGCTTCCAGGATCAAACAGTCTTTATAAACTGTTTACAGTTGCATTTCTGTGTATAGTCATGTTAAAAGATTAGCATAAAATTGAGTAAAAAAATAAAGTGTAAAATTACAATTGCAGTTTCCTTTGGGATTAATACTGTATCTACAGCTTGATCATTTGCTCTGAAGAGGACAAGTATTAATTTTAATTCCATTTATTTTATTGCCTTTTTGAGTTTTCTAACTTGCTGGTGCATATTTGTCATACTAAATACAACTTGATTGACCGGTTTTGTTTAAAGGTTTCTGGAATCAGCACAATTTATTTTCTACCCCTTCCCATTTTTCTCTGACCCTTTAAAAAATAGCCTCGTAATTCCATTGAAGCAGTTATGTAACTGTTTTCTTTTAAAAACTGATTTTTGTTCTAGAGCCTGTAGGCAAGCTGCAATTTCTTTGTTATTTGGTCACTGGAAAGAACATACATGAATAATGTCAACCTTTGCCTTTGGCTTGTAATGCCTTCCGCTAGCCTGAGTTAT